CAACCCGCCCCACTAACAACAATTTTATCCGATAAAAAATTAACAGTACAATATTTGTAAAGTAATTTATAATTGTACAATTATAGAAATACAAAAAAAAAGTATTAATAACATAATAATGACCTAAATCAATCCCAATAATGCAAAAACATAATTAAATATTGAGTCTTGTTCTAAATAATCAAAAGAAGATTAATTAAACGAAAAAAAAAAAAAAAAAAAAAAAAAAAAAAAAAAAAAAAACTTAACATAGATTTGTTTTTTTTTTTTTTAAATGCAAGAAAATAATTTTCATGGTTTATTTGTAATCTTTGATGCTCAACTTTGAATTTTATGTATATAGTCTGGCTAATTAATTGACCAAAGTTCATGTTAAATTTTAGAGAAAAATGCATTTTTGTAAATTATAGGAAGGATAATTGTAGAATTCGTCCCTAAGTGTTGGTCTTGTTCACTTTTTGTCTCTAAGCTATCATTGGCGTTGCACTTTTCCTACCTAAGCTAACTTCTCGTGCTCACTTTTCATCCGTAAGTTAACTTCTCGTGCTTACTTTTCATCCATAACGTTTTGTTAGTAAATGGATGAGAAATGCCACAACAATGATAGCCTCGAAACGAGTGAACAAGACCAACACTTAAGGACGAATTCTACAATTATTCTATAACTTAGGGACAAAAAGTGTAATTTTTCCTAAATTTTATATTGTATCTACAAACATAATAATAAGAGCCAATAAAGTTATACCCCTAACGGAAACTAAAAATATTGGCATAATTGTTTGTTGAAATGAATGGTTCATATTATTTTGATTTTAATATTTTTATTATTTTTCCTATTTTAATTACCTTCTATTATATCATTTACTTTTTCTTAAATACTCTTGTATTCCGTCAGTGTAAATTTTAGTAACGCAATATTGCGTTAACTATTTATTATTCTTAACTTACTAATTTATTTTCATAACGAATGTTTTAGGTTCGAACCTAGTCCCAATCAAAATTGACATAATTGTTAAACATATACTATGAATATGTTAGAGTGTATTAAAAAATACAATATAAAATTTAACATGAACTTTGGTCAATTAATTAGAATCACGCATTGGGCATTGATGATACGGTACACCTAATTTAAAGTATATATTCAACACATATGAAAAACTATGCATATTATCATTGTCTTTTTGGGGAATGAGGATTTGGTTATGTTTTTGAAGATGCATTGCGTTAAGGCACTAAAATTATAGTGAAGCACATCAAGGGACTAGATCAAATCAAGAATTCATTTCTGGCGAAAATGGCAACAAGAGAAAGTATGGATCACCAATTAATAGGGTTTTGTGTTGCAAAAATTATGCTTAGGGTATTATCCGGTGAGTGTGCTTCATTCTAAAATTGCTATTGCACCAGTTAATCCAACATTTTTGCCACATGTCATATTTATGCATTCTTGAAATATTTTTTTTATGAAAAAATTGATAATCTTGCATTGATATATGTCAGAATAGGGAATGATACGTTGATAAATTCTGAAACACTAATTTAAAAATACACGTTGGGCATTAGACTATTCGCGCAATGCGCGCGTGGTAACTAGTTATTTTAATACACTCTTAACATATTCATATATTATATGTTCAACAATTATGCCAACTTTGATTGAGATGTGGTTCAAACCTAGCTAGGACATTCCTTATGAAAATCAATGAGTAAGTTAAGAATAATAAATAGTTAACGGAATATTCCCTTACTAAAATTTACGCTAGCGGAGTGCAAGTGTATTTAGGAAAAATAAATTATATAACAGAGGGGAAAGTAGAAAAATAAATAAATAAAATACTAAAATTAAAATAATCTGAATCCTTCATTTCATCAAATAATTGAACGAACATATTTTAGTTCACATTATAGACCTAATTTTATTAGCTCACTATATATAGTATAGTATAGGTTAGTAAACGAGCTATTATAACTATATATTGATAAATTTATTAATTTGAGATCGAAATTGTAATTGAATTGTGATACGCACTCATAATAAATTATAAATTTGAAGAAGTAAAATGGAATTTTATGTCTTAAGAAATTAAACACGTGCGTGTGTGTTTCTTTCTATAGGGGATGCTATTAGGAATTTAATTATCAACTAATGGAGTGTGTATAGAAGATTTAATAAGTAATAAATTAAAGTGGAAGAATTTCAGGCAGGAATGGAACATACAGAACCTTTCTATACTGGCAGTCTGGCACATATCTTTTTAAACTTTGAATTTGTTCTTTACAATATTTAACATTTTTATTTTCTTAGCTTAAATTAAAAAAAAAAAAAAGTGTTTACCAATTATTATGTAATGTTATAACATCCTAGTTCTCATTCTAAATGAGTGGTGAACTGGTGATAGAAAAAACCCCAAAATTTATATAATTTTGGATTAATATATAGTTGACACTTGACAATATGTTGCATTCATTTTTAAGTAATAAATTTATATTTGAATTTTATCTTTGAATTCGTTTCAACTCTTAATTTTTGAATAGAGAAAATTTCAATTTTGGTCCACTGACTATTAGGGTTGTTTTAATTGCAACACTTGACTTTCAAAAATGATAATTTAGTACCTTGACTATGTAATTTCTATCAATTTTGGTCATGCCGGCCAAATTACCGGCCAAATCTCACCGGAAAAATTAAATTGGTCAAATAATAAGGGTAGTTTAGTCATTTCACTCCATTTTCTCTTTCAGCTTGACGATTTCTTCACCGGTGCTTCATCGCACCGTCTATGGCGGCCTGCGTCGCCATTTGAAGCTTGTGTTTCGCGACTTCCAAAGGAAATTTCAGGATTTCTTCTTCGCAGGTACGTCAATACTCATCGACGGCTTTCACTCTTTACACAAACTAGCTTTAAAATTTGAATCGCGTGCTTCCAAACTCGCTTTAAAATTCGAATCTCATGCATACGGTGAAGGTCAATAATCTGGTTGCAATTAGTTGCTTCAAATTTGAAACATTTGGTATCACTGCCAAAACACATTAGACCTCTATCTCTCAACGAAAATAATACTGGGCCGCAGGGGCAGATTCAGGAAATTGAGAGAAGCTCGGAGAAGAAATCGCCATTTTCTTTCTCCTTCTTTGCTTCTTCTTCCGGAAACGCAGGTACAGTCATCTGCACTTTCGATATTGGATCATTGGAGTCACGGCTTCATTGGACCTCGACACCTGAAAGTCGATTCCGTTTGTGGAGTCACAGTGAACGACGTAGCTGAAGCTTGGCACGAGATCGGAGAACATAATGGCAGAGTGGGGTGAGCTTGGACCTGCGTATCAAGCGGAGGAGCTGACATGTGGTCATCGTGTTTGAACGGGAGCTTGGAGGAGGCGACAATGGTTATGATGATGCGCGTGGACGTCAGTTCTTGGTGAGCTTCGCCGTTGGGCGGAAGTCGGGAATATCGGAGAGTGAGTATTTGGTTTTGCAGAGAATGGGGTGGTTAATCTTTGCAGAGAATATCGGAGAGTGAGTATTTGGTTTAGGGAGAAAATGTAATAATTTTTAATCTTTAGTTTTTGGAGAGCAGAGGATTCACGATGTCGAAGCGAGGACGCGGAGGTTCCGCCGGGAACAAGTTCATGATGCTTGCGTAGAAGACATGGTCTCTGTCAACGCAAGCCATGGCGCCGAAAGGATGGCGTTTTTATGTATTTCGAAGATAATGCTGGTGTCATTGTGAATCCTAAGGGTGAAATGAAAGGATCTGCCATTACTGGACCTATTTGGAAGGAATGTGCTGACTTTTGGCCTAGGATCGCAGTGCTGCAAATGCTATCTTTTAGAATTGTCATTTGAACTGGGTTCTGAGTTGGTTTTAAGACTCAGAAACCGGCTGCAATGTAATTTCGATTTCTGAAAACGGCTCTTCATGAAGGCAGTGACGGCAAGGAGGGGAACGAGGTCGGAGAAGAGAAGGAAGCCAAAGGACGTTTGAATAACATGAAATGACGCTTTTGCCCTTTTTTTTTAATGAGTTAAGATTTTCCGGTCATAATTTGCCAGTAATTTGGCCGGCGTGACCAAAATTGATAGAAATTGCATAGTCAAGGTATTAAATTAACATTTTTAAAAGTCAAGTGTTGCAATTAACACAACCCTAATAGTCAATGGACCAAAATTGAAATTTTCTCTTTTTGAATACTACTAACTCAGTGTTACAATGTAATATCTGTTTATAATTATTTTCTCAAACTACTAAAGCAAATCCATGATCTCCCGTTTAGAAGAGTCACTTTATGTCACTAGACCACAAAGTGATTTGTTTCAACTCTAATTAAATATTGTATAAAAAAAAGGAGATATTTTGGAGTATTAAAGAAGTGGGTGAACTCGTGTAAAGCGGTAAGAAATATTGTGTTTCCACTACATGTTTAATTGGTGACTTTTTTAAATTATTATTTCTTTCTAGAACTCAAAATTAATTGGTTATAGTAACGCGCAAGTGGATCAAATGAGTTTAGACAAGATACTGTTTATATGATTGAGAACTGTCACTAACCCTTGTAATTTATTTATAATAATAACTACACTAATTTATCATCAACTAATGACTAACAAATTTCCAATAAAAACATCATATTTAATTTTTTTTATTTTTTTTACTTTGGGTGATTTCAGCCTTACCGGAGTAATTCTAATTTCTAAGCCCACATGATTCCGCTTCAGTCATTATATCGTGGTGCACCGCGGTCAAAACGACGTCGTTTCTTTACGTAAAGAAACGGCGCGCTGTTAGTTTTAACGGAGCGCACATTTTTTTTTGTATGTTAATTACAAACTAACACAGTGACACTACAGTATATCTAAATCGATACTGCCTCACATATTATTTTTATATTATCAAATGAAACTGCAGTTATATCAAAATGATACTGTAGTTGTGGTGAAATGAAATTGCAGTGTATATAATTTATTTATTTTTTTTGAAAGGAGCCTGTTCGGCATTTATTCAAAATATGCTGAAATAGAGTGGGGCAGTTCAAAGTCCGCATACATACTAGTCAACTGATTAAACGCAGTAGACGCTAATGTATGAGCTAAATAATTATCTAATCTAGGAATGTAATGAATCAAGCAGTAATCAAAAGACAATAAACTAGTTCTGCAACTATCAATGGCATAGCCCAAGTAAGACCGAGATGAGTGCGTTGTAGATGAAAGATATTGTTGGAGCACCAAACAATTAGTGTAGAGGTCGATAGATTGTACTTCTCGATTTCTTAGCCATGATAAAACTTCCTTGCATGCAAAAGCCTCCGCCATTAGGGGCGAAAAGCAGTCTATGATAGGAGCGGTCATAGCCGACACGTAACCTCCCTGTGAATTCAGAATAATAGCCCCCACCGTTGCCTTGTTTGTTCGCGGGTCGTAAGCCGCATCGAAATAACACTGATCCCTCGAGTCTTGCATAGCATGGTGTAGCACAATCGGTGCAGGCAATTGCGGTACTGGCAACATGGCTGCGGCGTCTCCCCTCGGCGTGCGTACTGCCGCAGCAGTTCGGTTGGGCGCTGCCGGCATGACACGGGTAGGTGGCGCCGTGGAGTTGGCTGGCGGGCTCTGTCGAACGGGGTGTACTATCTTCCATGCATTCAAGGACGATACAACCATTGCTACTACCTTTTGGGGTCTGGGCAAATTTGCCTCCCAAACAACTCCATTTCTTGTTCGCCATATGTAGTATAAGAGGGCCACTGCATAAATAATCCCATCATCATCTAAAATATTCATCAAATCATTAAACCGATCACTGAAAATATTTGTGACACTATTGGGGATTGGAAGGTTAGATTGTGCACAAATGTTCGCCGTATAACCACATGTGATCAAAGAATGCACAAGATTCTCATGCTCAACTCCACACATTGCACAAGTTGGATCAATATCTACTCTCTTTATAAGTAAGTTCTCCGTAGTGGGTAAAATATCATTTAGAGCTCTCCATAAGAATGTTTTCCACTTTGGGGGGACTTTTAGACTCCATAATTTTTTCCATTTATCAAAGGTTCCCGCCGGTTGGGAGTAATTGCCTATCACCACTTTATATCCATCTTTAACAGAATATTCTCCTCTTGGGTCTCCATACCAGTACCACATATCTTCATAATTAGGAGACACAGGTATTTTTAAAATTTTCTCCACATCCTAAGGTATGAAAATATCTGTTAGAATTTCCTGATCCCAGGTTCCAGTCTGTTGATCCATCAAACACACCACTTTTGCCTGTGCCAACTGAGGCGGTTTTTCTGTTAAAATTCCTGGTTGATTTTCATCATGCAACCACGGGTGGTCCCAAATCAAAGTTGATTTGCCATTTCCAATCCTGCGCCTGACTCCCCCACAAATTAAACCTTTAGCCGCCATAATACTCCGCCAATAGAAAATCGGGTTATTTCCCAAGCATGCCTCATAGAAAGAATTAGTTGGGTAATACCTGGCTTTATACACTCTTGAAACCAGTGACTGTGGCTGTGTCAGGAAGCGCCATGCCTGCTTACCTAGCATTGCAAGATTAAAGGCTCTCAACTCTTTAAAACCTAGCCCTCCAAATTTCTTTGGAATACACAGTTTATCCCAGGCTTTCCAATGGATGCCCTGATCATTCCCGGATCTCCACCAGAATCGATTCATAGTTCTCTCAATGGCCGTACATAGATTCATAGGCAGTAAAAATACACTCATTGAGAAAGTAGGCATAGATTGAGCCACACTTTTCAATAGAACTTCCTTCCCTGCCTGTGATAAAAGCTTCTTATTCCACGAGCCAATCCTCTGTCTTATCTTATCCTCTATATAAGAAAATGCCTCCCTTCTGTTCCTGCCCACAAATGATGGAAGCCCCAAATACTTTCCAAAATATTGAGCCTGCATTACCCCCAATATATCAGCAATCTCCTCCCTCACTTCATCCTGTGTATTCGTACTAAAACATATATTCGATTTGTGATAATTAACCGCCTGACCAGACATGTTTTCATAAGCTGCTAAACAACGTTTTACCACTCCTGCTTCCTGGCTATTAGCTTTGAAAAACAGTAGACTATCATCAGTAAAGAACAAATGGGTAATGGGGGGGCGCCCCTCTCGCAACTCTACATCCATGTATTTCCCCTTTCACTTCTGCCTGGTTTAACAATATCGAAAGGCCCTCAGCACAAATAATGAACAAGTAAGGTGATAGAGGATCACCTTGTCGCAAACCACTAGTTGGGGTTATTTGATCACTTTTTGAACCATTTATCAGTACACTGTATGACACAGTGGTCACAAACATCATCAATAAATCCACCCATCTGTCATCAAACCCTAGCGTTCTCAACATCTTTTGCAAAAACGACCATTCCATACGATCATAGGCTTTTGCCATATCCAGCTTCAAAGCCCCCCAGCCAGCTAATCCACATTGCTTTCTGTTTAAATAATGGCCAACTTCCGCAGCTACCAAAATATTATCTGTAATAAGTCTTTCAGATATAAACGCACTCTGGGATTCAGATATAACATTCTCCATCAGCGGTTTCATTCTAGATGTAATCACTTTTGCCATAACTCTGTAAACAACATTACTCAGAGCTATTGGCCTATAATCAGAAACCATTTTCGGGGTTTTCTTTTTCGGGATCAAAATAATATTCGTCTCATTCAATCCATCCGGTAAAGAGCAATTATTCAGGCAATTCACAATAAACGTAGAAACATCAGAACCTACCACATCCCAAAAATGTTGGTAGAATCCGGGGTTCATCCCATCCGGTCCTGGTGCCTTATCCGGGTACATTGAAAACAAGGCCGCTTTTATTTCATTCTCCTCAAAAGGCCGAACCAGCCTCTCATTCTGCGCGGCAGTCACACGGGGTTGTATACTCTCAAAGAAATCATCATTAACAGTAGGTGAACTCGAGCTAAAAATATCACGGTAATACTTCAAAATAACATCTCTCATGGCCTCTCCCTCTATCCAATCCCCATTATCATTCATAATTTTAGTAATGGTATTCTTTTTCTTTCGGTGAGAAGCATACCTGTGGTAAAATTTGGTGTTTGCGTCCGCATCCTTGAGCCAGTGCTGTTTGGCCCTCTGCCTCCAGTATGCATCCTCCTGTAACTCAATACGAGTTAGGCACTCATCCAATCTCCGAAATTCGGCTAGGGACACCGAATCTGTACACCCCCTGAGGCGCATCTGCTCTTTGCGTAAGGTAATAATCTTCTCACCAAATTTATGAAAACGGTCTCCACCCCATCGTGTTAACCGGTTTCCACAAAATGCAGTACACTCCTGCAGTCCCCTATCTCTTCCTTCACCCCATGATTTCTCCACCACCTCCCTACACCCTTCATCATGTAGCCATGCCATCTCAAAACGAAAACCCCTACCCAGACCACTCGGCCTCCCCCGAAGATTGAGAATCCCAAGGAAAAGGAAAGAGTGATCTGATTTTTGGGTCAATATGTTTTGCACATTCGCATCAGCCACCAACTCTCTCCAAGGCTACGTGGCCAACACCTTATCCAAGCGTTCCTCTATCCAGTTCGGAGTGCCTTTCCCCTTCTCCCAAGTGTAGGGATACCCAGACATCGGTAATTGTGTCAAACCACACTCCTCAATAGTCTCTCCAAAACCCTGTAGTAAACTGTCCGGATGAGGGTTTCCCCCTCGTTTCTCATACTGAAATAAGAGATCATTAAAATCTCCAATAATAACCCACGGCAGATCCGACTTACTTGCTAATGAACGGATAAGGTCCCATGACTCCCTTCTTTGTGGACGTTTCGGGAAGCCATAGAATCCAGTCATCCTCCATCTATCAAAACCAGGAATAGTCACCTCAATATCAATGTAATTATTTGAATAGCCAATTAGTCTTGCAGAACTATTCGTCCTCCATAACATAGCTAACCCCCCACTCAAACCAGAATTATCAACATTAAATAGGCCTTCGAACCCAAGCTTTACCCGAAGACGCTCTGCATGATCTCGGTTAACCTTAGTTTCCATCAGAAATACAAAATCGGGCTTCTTACGGGACACTATGTCCTCAATTTCCCGAAATGTCCGTGGATTACCCAAGCCACGGCAGTTCCAGCTCAATGTACTCATTGGGTTGGGCGGGTCTGCACCGCAGCACCCGCCATCTGCAAGTTTTTTTGAACCTCTGCCATTGTTATATCTTCCACCACCATCACTCCTTCATCAACCCGCCCTGCCCTACCACCCCCTTCCTCCGGTACGGCCGAATAAGTGTTATTCGGTTCCACCCTCACACCCAACTCCCCCTCACTCCCAACCCCACCATCCGTTCTTCGCCGTTTCGGGTCCACCCTTACTCCCTCTTCCTCCCTCACTGGCTCGTTATCCCTCCCCAGCCCCGACTGCCCACCTCCTCCCTCACCCGCTATCCGTCCCCCTATTCCAGCCACAACCGGCCGTTCTCCTGCCACACCCCGCTGCCCAAACCCACCCATACCAAAACCAATTTCTTTCCTCCTCTCTTGCCCTATTCTAAACCACTTATCCCCCATCACTTTAGCCGGACTATTCCCTCCTGCCCTCATAGCCGCACCATAGACATATTGATCCGAAGGTATTAAAGAACGCCGAGCAGCTAAGCAAAACTTATCTGTATGCCCCATTATACCACAAAAGAAACAAAACATATGTAAGCGCTCGTACTTGAAATTTATCCATGTCCACGTCCCATCCCGCATTATCATCTTCATTCGGCGTTTCAAGGGCACAGTGACATCATGCGTAATACGTACCCGGTAGTACGAAGTCCACGGTCTCTCAAAGTTTCGTTCATCATACCGCAAAAACACCCCCGTGAAATCTCCAATCCTTTCAAGCACCTTCACCGTTCGGTATCCTAATGGGATATCATAAACCTGCAGCCAGAAATCCACCGTGTTCAACACCACCTGAGTTGGATCAACTCCGTCATCCAAAACTTGACACAAAAAAGTCGTGTTTTCAAACGCCCATGGCCCCTCCTCTAACACCTGGCGCATGTCAGCTTCATCAAAAAACGTAAAGAGATACAGGTTCGAGAGTACATCTGTTATCTCTATTCCCATGAGAGGGCGCCAAGCCGAGGCCATCACCCTCTTCATTACCTCAACCTTCATGATCCGATCGGTGAGAAACCTTCCCACCAAAGTCCAGGTATTCCGCACCGGAGGCAATGCAGCAGTCTCGTAAATCTCTTCTTCGAAGCGCACACCCTCCTCTTCGTCATCCAAACTGATGTCCGCCGTCGACGCAATGATGTCGCGCACGTCCATCGTCGTTTCGTTACCAGAAGCCGATCGTAAGCAGTAAAGTTTCGAAACCCTAGAGTTCAGGGAGCACCAGCGTCGAAACCCTAGAGTTCAGGGAGAAAATAAACTTTCGCATTTTTTGTTTGATTGCCCTAGTATTCGCAGTGTATATAAAATGAAACTGAATAACATTTCACATATTTGAGTGTATATTGTACAATGAAGATGTAATTATATCAAAATGGTCATGTAGTTGTGTTTTAATAAAACTATAGTGTATATAAAATAAAATAAAATAACATTTTATATATTTGAGTCTATAAATATCAAATGAAACTGTAGTTATATCGAAATAAAACTGTAGTTGTGTTGAACCGAAACTGCAGTGTATACAAAATGAAACTGAATAACCCAGAGTTACTTTTTGCAGAAGGGTGCAGAACGGCGGGAAATGGATGCCGTTTCTTTTATTAAACAAAACGACGTCGTTTTGATACGCAGTGCATAATCGATTATGCACCGCGGTGCATGATATAATTTGTGATTCCGCTTTAGGAGTCATTGCAGATTGAGGTAAATCGCAAGTCACGAAATCAGCCCACCGATCAAACCATAGTTTTCAAGCGTGCACAATGGATCCAATCCACACCTTCCCTCATTCTAAAATTCGAACCCCCACACTGTTGCCTCCAGTCATGACATCAAGTGAAGCGATAATCTACTAACTATACGCCAAGTTTCGGGAGCTCTCATATTTAATTCGTGTTCATCTCAAATGTAATACACGTCTTATGTCTTATTTTATGTTTTCATAAGTTTTGTTTTGCCAACAACCGCAGGATGCTTGATTCTAATAATTCTACCAAAGACCAAAAAACGAGAGGTATGGATCTGTCCTTTATCTTGACAATAATGTATATGCATTTGGGAATTTGTAGGCCAATTGAGACATATCCCACAATTTATGTCTTCCATAAATCATCAGCGCAAGAGAAATGAGGAACTCTTAAGTTTGAAGTTCAAAATTATTTTATATGTTAATATGTTTAATTGAAATTAATTTTTTTCTTTATGCATGTAATTAGTTGATATTGTGTGAAACTATTTCAGTGAGTCAGATTATAAAATATGTAATAATTTTTAGCAAAAAAGTAATTTTTTTTATAAATCAACAAGTATATTATATTTTCACTAATAATTAATTTTCAAGTAACAAGTAATACTTTTCAAGGGAAAATATCACTTTTTACCCCTGAGTTATATACTTATAGCACTTTTCCCCCTCAATTATTTAGGTAAGCACATTAGCCCCCTCAATTATTCTAAAAGTGGTGTTTTTTCCCCCCTGTTATATTAAATTGACATTTATACCCTTAAAGTAAACATTTTATTTATTTTACTACTCCAACAAATTATTGTGTATACGTAGGGATGACCATGCTTTGGTTTGAATTGAACCGGATATTAAAGCAATCGAATTAATAGTTTATGGTTATAATTCAGATCTAGAACTCAATATTTAAATGTTAATTTATTAAAATTATGTATCAAAAAAATTGAATCTTGAACCGTGAACCGGCGGTTCCGGATCTGATTCGCGATTTTGAACCGTCTTTATTTTAAAATTTTATTTTTTATTTTAAAATAGTCTAAATTCAATAATAAATGTATTTTATTTTTTCAGTTCGGAACATGAACCGTCTGTTCCGGTTCACGATTTTAATAAACTCTAAATATCGGTTTGGTTGCTATAGTGTTTGTTTAGTTTGAACCAAATTATGGTCATAATTTGTTGGAGAAAAAAAATAAATTAAATATTTAGTTTAAGGGTAAATATGTCCATTTAACATTTCAAGGGGAAAAACAGTCATTTCAGTAATTTAGGGGGAAAAAATGCTATAGGTATATAACTCAAGGGGAAAAAGTGTCATTTTCCCTACTTTTCAATTAATATGTATTATTGAAGCATAGAAAAATGCAACATTTTCTTTAAAAAAAAAAAATCAACATTTTAGAGTTGAACCTCCGACTTTATAGTTACATTAGTAGGTGCTTGGTTAATAACATCTAATTTGACTACTTAAATTGAAATATTCTTAATTACAACCATAGTCTATACTTTCTAAAAAATATGAACGTTTGTTTTATGTTCTCATAAGTTAATTTTTTTAAATCTTTTTTTACATGTAAACATTCATGATAGACTTCTTTAGTGTTATATAGGGTGGGTGGATGAGGGTATGTTGCAGGACTCCACATGAAAGTTCAAAGTTGTGATAATAGAGCATCATTACTTATATATATTATTAAGGGAAAATGACGAGTTTGGTCTCTGAGTTATAATGTTAGTGACGACTCAGTCCCTGAGTTATGACTGTATCTATTTTTAGTCCCTCAGTTATGAGTGAAGTTGTGCATTTGGTCCCTTTTTTTTTTTTTTTTTTTTTGATCCGAAAGAGGGTGATACCCCAACAACACTTAAGAACCACCATTACCATGTCGTCTTGCCTTCCTACGAGTGAAGCAGACTCCTGACTGATCCTTGTACATAGCCTCCTTAATCCCCTGAGGCGGGGTATCCAGAATACAAAGGCCAACTTGATGAGCGAGGGCCAAAGAAGCTAGGCCATCAGCCACTTGATTCTGCTCTCTCAACGCATGCTCATAAGTCACATAAGCTATCCTCTCAGCCTCCATCAGGCATCTGCGTATCATGTTGTTGCACTGCAAGGTCCGTGTCTGGAGGCTTCGAATAGTGAGCAGCGAGTCGCTTTCAACTTGCACCATGTCCACGTTATGATGCCTTGCCAGGCGTAGACCTTGAAGGATCGCCCAAGCCTCTGCCTCCTCCACCGTGCAACGACCAATGTTGTAAGTAAAGCCTCCACGCCAAATCCCGTTGGAATCCCGAAGAACACCGCCACAGCTTGCGATACCATCCTCCTTACAACTACCATCAACATTAATCTTCATCCATCCCTGCGGCGGCCTCTTCCAAGCAACCAGATCAGGAATACGCCGTTCCAGTCGTGCATCCGGATAGATTCGCTTTTTAAAAGTTGCGCGCACCTCCGCATCGTAGGTTTGAAGCCATGCTGCCTTCGCCTCCCGGGTTGGTGACGTGTGCCTGAAAACCTCTTCGTTCCTCCACTTCCAGAGCCACCACAGCCGGATGCCAAACCTTTCCGGCCAATCCCCATCCAGTCCTAGTCTTGTGTCGCCCCTAAGGTTAGCCCGGAACCACGCATTCCAGTCTAAACCGTCGAGCATGTCCAGAGTGCGTCGTGGAAGGTCAGCCTCCCAAATCCCTGTTGCTCCCATGCATCGTCTGAACGTGTGGTTTAGATCCTCAGATTGTCCTGCACACCGAAAACAAGATCCATTAGTCGATAAATGTCTACGTACTCTCTCTGCGTTGGTAAGAATGCGCCCATGCTTGACCAACCAAAGGAAGAAACAAATTCTTCCGGGCAGTCTAAGCTTCCAAATTCTCCCCCAGTCTTCGTCAAGCTGACCACCGTCCTCGTTCACTACTGCCGCGTATGCCGAACTCACTGAGAAACGCTTATTGGCGTCTGGTTCCCATCCAATGTCATCCTCCACCTCCTCCTCGGCTAGCATAAAACCAGCCAGACGTTCCTGAGCTTCCATCGGAAGAGCGTGGTTCAAACATTCCCATTTCCACCCTCGGTGTCGATCCTAGTAATCCTCCACGTTCGCGTATAGTTCCGGCAATCCCAGAGGAATAAGTAGCTGGTCATATAGGGGTGTAGGCAACAGCCACTTATCCATCCAGAAGCGCGTATTCGTCCCATTTTGGACTAGGCGTATAATGCCCTGCTGCAGGGTATCCCATGCTGCCGTTATTCCTTTCCAGGTGTTCGATGTGTTTCTTCTACCGTTGCTTGGCCGCTGATTAGCCACCAACGGTTGATACTTCGTGGACAGCGTACGGGCCCACAAACTGTCTGCCTCTTTCTGAAGTCTCCAGCCAAGTCTCATCATGTATGCGATGTTCATTTCGTGGAGCTTGCGAATGCCCAGCCCTCCTGTTTCCTTACTCGAGGTGACTGTATCCCAGTTAGTGAGGCTAACCTTGTTGCTTCCTGTACTAGTGCTTCCCCAGATAAACTTTCTTGTCCGCTTTTCTAATTCGAGGCAAAGACTCTTAGGTAAAAACGTCCTAACAAGTCATACTAAAGTTATTGAAATGCTTTTAGAATTGAACAATCTTGAAATAAGAGACTAAGAAGCGAAAAATAATGTTGTGAAAGTGGTTTTGATATAAGAAGGAGAATAAAATATGAATTTCCTACTTTACCCCTCAAATTTTAAATATTCTTAACTTTTTCCGTCAATTTTAACGGTCGGGGACCAAAGCAATGTGCATCGAAAAATATATTGCAAAATAATTTAATATAGATTCAATTATAAATAATTTATTTTAAACTTTATAAAATTTGTAATGGTAATTGGCCCCCCGCACTATTAAGTTCTGGCTCCGCCCCTATATATATATATATATATATATATATATATATATATATATATATATATATATATATATTATTTATTTATTTATTTAAATCAATTTTACTTTATTTTTTTTCTCTCTCCACCCATATTCTCTTTCCTAATCATACTCACGAAAACTCCTCAAAAATCATAAAATATCTCCACTATATATTATGGATGTTCTAATGCAAACAGGCCAAAATGTTTGCCTAAAAGAGATGCTTTATTGCTTTATGCCACCAACAACAGCCAAGTTGTTAGGATATAACATTTCTATTGATATATTTTTAGCAAATTAACTTAAATTAAGACATGTTGATATTTTATTTTGATATATAGATTTAAAATTTTCTCCTACAAGGTTGAATTGTCTCAATGATCCTCACACCCCGGTCCGACAGAGCATTTGGGAGGATGTAAATCACAGTAACTCAATGGCTCATCAGACTAGACTAAATGCTGGTGCGCACAAGGGATCTATCCACTTTGGACATAATTTTTATACTACG